AGAATTCCCCAGGAATTAAAGTCGGTCGGAGCCTGAAACGTATCTCATATCCATTAAATGCAGTAATTTAAATTGCTCGTAGTTCACTTATACCCCTCAAAAACATAGAAACGAAAAGATAAACCGACACCGCTGTAGATTTGTATTTGGTAAGTTTAAGGTTCAAATCTTGGTCGGATTGCTGACTATCCGGAGGAAACATTTTGCTTTACATTGTCACGGTAAATTCCGGGAAACTATTTTTTATAGATACAGACTGCGTCCTTCCAAATACATACTCAACAATTATACATCACATGCCATGTAATTTGAAGTCCATCCATGGCGTGGTGTTAGGTAACAAGGTCAACTTTACCATTACCTAAACACAGAGTTCCAATCTCGCCAGGTGCACTTCGAGGTCTTTTTTTCAGAGGCCATCTTCGAACTTTTCTTGAATCATTCTGCATAACACAAAATCCATCACAGACATGGAGCTCTTGTCCTAACACCATAACAGAATACTTGGAATTCTACATGGTCTACCGTCTGGTTATGATTGCAAGACCGAATATGACTGATTCACTGGCTGTATGAATGACAGAATTACCGATAGACTGATAAACTGTCCGACGCGGTGGTACTAACTCTCAATTTATTATATCAATCCTTCGAGACGGTTATAGAAGTTCAAGCTTTTATTGGCGCAGAAGGTTTATCTCCGTATTAATAATGGTCATTGAACAGTAAGATTCTTAGCCTGTGTCAGACTTATTTTGTTAACAGTATGTAGCATATTGTACTTTTATTGTGAGTTGTTTCCAACCCTACTGGTCTACCTAACTGCAACCTGTAAGGCCAATCCTTGTCGGCTGTCGGAAACTGCTTCTTCAGCATATCCGGAGCTATCCTCCAAACCTGGAGTTCATCTCCTCTGCCCAGAATCTAAGGAAACGCCTTTAAGTTGTAACAAGGGGCCCACTTTGTATGATTTCCTTGTAGAGAACTCGAACAAAATCATCGGGTCCGTAACTTTATCAAGCAGGAACTTCTAGGAACTCGTATAAAGCTAAGACAGATGAAACAAGCTGATAAGTAATTCGTAGACCAGACTTGAATATTGGTATGAGATATCAAGGTGAGTAGGCTTAAGAGGAAATAGAGTTCATGAAGAGACTCTATCATGCGCCTTCTACATTGTATGTACTCAGCTGATTTAGAGTTCTTTGGCAATTAGCTTCGATAACATGAGTGCACTTTTTATTTAGTTTGATGAAGAAATTTTCTGATTTCTCACAAATTAGTAGTTTCTTTCATTAACATGTCTAGTGGGGAGAAAAAGAAATAGTTGTTTCCACGGAAGAAAACATGAAGCCTTACATATTATACTAAGTAAAGGCGAATGTATACAAAACGTGGCAGAAGAATAGAGCATCGGCTGTGTTATCTTAGTTTTTTTACATTATTTTTCGGTATTATCCGACATTTTCGAATATCCGACAGTCCTTTTGCCCCGTTTAGGTCGGATAATCTAGAAACTACTATACTTCATTGATTCTTGGTCTATTTAAAAGTATGTTAACTGCGTATCATCTATCAACAATATGTAATAATACGAGTATGTGAAGAGATATAATACGCAGATACCAATCTTAGAATTGTTGGGTGGAGGAAAACTATGAGAAAACCCGAGGGCAACAAACATCCTGATCGAGTTTCAAACGGCGAATCCGGAGCGTAACAAGCTACAAACGCACATAAATTAATTCGAATTAATTAGGTCACTACTATAATCTATTGCAAAATACTCACTTAACAAGTACTTGTAATGAAGAAAATAGGTCTCTGAGATAGAATAATTTAATTTATGAACTTAAACGTATAATTTTGTCTAATAGTTTAGAACGTACGACAAGAATCAACGGGCATAGTACTAAACGCAAAGTGATTAAGTCAAAGACAAATAATATTTTAATATACGAGGTAGACCTACGTAAATTATAAACACGCCCACTCACACTCAAATATCCTCAAATCTGTTATACCATTCTGTACTGTGAATCTGTAGTTGTGTAACACGACCACCTTAAAAATATTGAAGGTGGACTGGGGGATACTGGGAACGACCCGTTCTTCAAGTTCCTGAGCACTGCAACTTTTCGTTGGCTTGATCTATAGACATTCGGTAGGACTCCTTGGACGAGGGATCGGCCCGTCGTAAGGCCTCTACCTGTACACAGGACAGCACAACAAACATCCATGGCTTGAGTGGGATTCGAACCCGCGGTCCCAGCGACCAAGCGGCACAAGGAACACGCCTCAGACCGCGCGGCCACTGCGGACCCCAATGAAGGTGGAAACAAAGAAAATTTCTTCTTCCATCATTATCATATGAAGAAGGACGTCTGTACCGCGCCGTTCTTGGTACGAAGACGATGCATAAGGAATTCCTGGAATTATAAGCTGTACGATATGCAGCAGAGAGAAACACTGAGCTTTTTCTCTGTCCGCCTATCCTCCAGGGGGTATGATATAACATTGGAACCGGTGGTGGGCAGAATCTCATCGACCGGCCAGCCACAAATCGATTGTCTTATACGACCAACTCCACAAGCCATGCATCATCTATGTCACGCTTCCGGCAAAGGAAGTATCAGAACTTTGTTCATAACGAAACAAAAGCAGAGAACCTTACCAGAGGCCCACAAAATCCGCGTTGTATTTCAGCAATGCAAATAATTAAGTGAATAAAAGGTCAGAGATTATTTTATGTAGGGTACAACAAGCCAGAAACCTTACGAAAAAACTATGTAATTAAAATAACGTTTAGTAACTGTCAATATTTGCACTAACTGATACAGACCTACAGGCATACCAAGACAAGCTAAATATGATGTGGTGTAGGTATATAACGACGTTGTCAGTAGGTCAGGCTATACAATGTCAAATGACAGCGAGGAATGCATTGAAAATTGTGTGGAAGGAATCGGTCGTGGCCTAATTTAAGACATTACCCAGGCATTTTCCTGTTAGGACTGAGGAAAAACATAAACCCTCAGTAAGAATAAAAATATGCGAATTTTCTAGGTTGAAGCAAAGAGAGGTTTGTCTTGTGATCTTTTGTAAATCAACGCCCGAAGCCTTGGCTGAGATATCCGGAGAATGCTTAATAATGAATATTTGATGTGTGGATTTAATATAGCGGGATACTAACGTTAACGAGTTCAAGGTGAATACCAAGCTTTTTCATCAAGGCACATAAAGTTATTAGCCAGCATTGAAAAGACTGAATGGAAACTGGATGAATGTGTATGGACTTAATTCTTTTAAAAAAAATGAAACTCAGCACAGACATACGTGCTATTTTTTCATTCGGATTAGAAATTTGGATAGGAGCAAGACTGAATCCAGCAAAATGTTTTCTGAGATCACCAGCAGGAGTTACACTTGGGACAGAAAAGTAGTATAGGAGTACTGAAGAAGGGACAAACAGCATTAGAGATGAAACGGGAAAAGTTTGAAATTTCGGAAGAAGACTGTACTCCAACGGGTTCTGAATTATAACCCAGGAAGGAAGAATAAAGTAAGAAGGCTTCATTGTAAGAAGAAATACAGACTTGGAAGCAGAAATTCACGTTTTTTTTTCTATATTCCCCTTTTAATATAAATATCAAAATTCCACTCCACAACGACATAGACCCTCCTCAAGTCCTTCTTTATAATTCATAAACAACACGCACAAAAGGCCTGCTACTGCAGAGGCACAAAATGGACCATTTCCCAACGTTTTCACCTCTCTACAACTTCTCCTCAACGGAAGACGAACGGGCATTGCCTGGGAGCCTTCAGAGACTCGTAAACCAGACTACACGGCGTAACAGCCCAGAAGACAGTAATTCTATTTTCCAACCAACATTGCATCTTTAGTCCATTGACTAGGCCAACAATAAATTTCAGCGAAATCTTTTGCGTAACCTGGATTAATAAAATATGTGGATTGACAGATCGGAGGACGTCTGTGTGAATGCATTTCATAAGCTTGGCATGTAGAACGCAAAGTATGTGACAATAAGAAAGAAGACGAAGTAGGTTTTGAATAAATGACCTGACACCTGCAGTTGGCCACCCAGACTCAGGGAAGGTGTAAGACGATTGCCGACAGACACATAAAGTGTCCATTTTAAAATGAACCGGAATTGTTTCATAATCCTTTTACACGAAGCAGGCCATTAATTTTCTTTACAAACCACATGAGTGATAAAACAATCCTTCCTTGACCCTGTGTATGTCAGTCTAGCCGAGTTTCAGTCACCTGTAGTCGTCTAATCGTTCCAGGGGGTAGGGAGGATCGTTATGAAAGAAACAAGGTCAAAGGTCATCATGTTGTGAGTTATGGCCTCAAGATTCATGTACTGAACGTTTATCACCTTTGGGCCGTATGAAGAAAATAATTACATTTCCTCGTTTTCTGACGATAACAAATGTGTCCAGTAGCACGTCATTAACTTTTGGTCTATTAGATTCATAAACTAACATAAATCTAATGTATCCAGTTTAATCGTTTTAAATATAAAACATGAATCAAACTCGAAATTACTTCATTTGAGAGCCAAAAGGCAATGAGAACATAATTCGTAAAGAATTAAAAGTTCTGCATAAAAGAAAAACTATGTTGTAACACTTCATTTTTCCAAGAACTATCCAAATTGTTGCAAGCAATTACTCTGTGTTCAGTCCATGGTAATTTCGATGCCGAGGTTGTATAGTTTTTGATTATCGGCTTTTCAAGCCAGGCTATGCTCCATGCAGTCAGTTGGTAATACGGCTACAATTAAAATATAATTTCTAAATAACAATTTCTTGGTGAATGGTAATTTGAACGATAAAGGAGAATCTGGTAAAATGGCATTCAATTGGTTATAAGGGACATACGTGTCTGGGTGGTAAACGAAAGGAACTGATGATGATGAGGGAGGTTAGTTGATTTTTTTCAAGAGGACGAGAATTCAAGGACCTTACTCTGAACTTATAACTCATATTTATTGAGGGTTAAAGTTCAAACTAATTTGTTTAGAACATTAACTAGATCACATCGCATTTGATGTTCAACGGCGATAAAAAACATCATTCAGGTTTAATTTTGAAGATCGTGGAACAAACAGACGTACATTACAATTTTCAAAGCATGACTATAAAATCGGTTACAAACTTTAAACAACTCAGAATTCATCAAGAGACTCCTGTATGGAGTGTTACTATAACAGCTTTGAGCAAAACGTTCCAAGAATGTGGTTATCAGTCCGTGAAAATGAACTAGCAGAAATGTATTCTCTGCTAAATACATCAAGTACAGATGCATAAAGAGAGAAAGAGAGGGAAACAAGTACAATGCAAATGTTCCAAAGCAAGTTCGGATCAAAAAGCTTTCCAGTTCATGACCGATTTGTGACTGGAAAAACCATTTTGAGGCAGTTCTATTCAGGGACGTTAATTTACCGCTGACAGTGTACCGACGTTATACAAATTTGTTTCTTTAGCTAAAGGTCAAAGGATAATATAATACAATTTCTAATTACTTTCAATATTGCATCAGAATGCACGACAAAAATATAAATAAAACAACAATCTGTTAATAAATAGTGCTCATTATAAACTAATAAACAATAATTCAATTAACTCTCAGTCAGATGAACGGCCATCAGCAAACGATTCGATAACGAAGTCCTTGTAAGCGTAATCCATGTACATATAAATATCGACTGAGATCGCTGATATTTTAAGGTGACTTAGACACAACGGATTAAGTCTTACATGTAATATGGTAAATTAATGTTGTGTAAGTTAAAAAAAAAATATTTGTCACGAATTAATCAATTTCCTCTTATATATAAGCCTATACCTCACAGACAAGCGGTTGTAACCCCTAGTTAAGCTTGCAAGAACTGTAAATTAATTCCAAGCAACAATTGCATCTTAATTTCCTGTGTTCAAGGCAATTCACCAGAAATACCACTAAACATCGTATAATAAAATGGTATTTGAAACAACAAAAGACCTCGTTCACAGCATGTTTCGATATACTTCATATTCAAAGGAGTGTAATAAAAATTAAATTTTAATATAAACTTCGTGTAAAGTGAGAGTTACCAAAAACCGATACGGTCCTAAATGAAATTCACACGTAAAGTTTACGTTTAAACACCCCGAGTACAAACCTGCGTCCAAACCAGTTTCATACTTTTGTAAATGAAACAAGCATTTGGTGACGCAGGGTATAAATATGTTTAAAGTAAAGTAAAAGGGACAAACAATAATGAATCATCAAGAAAGGTAATAAGAATAACAAATGCCCCGTAGCACGCGTTCAACATCGCCGTCACTCCTCATCTGCAGCCAAGGTCGTCGTGCTTTGCTGCGCAGAGACTTTCAACAAGGTGTCGTACTGCCCCATGTAAAAGTTTGCTCTGTTGTTTGGAAACCTTCGCACTCGTCCTCATGTGTTTAAGTCAGCACACATGACGTGTCCCACTAATTGAGTGCCTTATTAATGCAGACGTCGCAGAAAGGTTTTTCCACTCAGGAAAAGACGAATCTTAGCACCTTGCTTATGGATGAAACTTATGAGCAATATTTTACAGTGAAGAGCTCAATCACATGATACCTGAAAGACAAACAAAGAAACAAATGATAATGCTTACAAATTCTTATCAGAAACCTTAAAGGAAAATAACTCGTGGGATAAAAGTGGTTGTCTTCAGGGCTGTAGAAATTTACGGATATTTCAAAGGCCCGTGGTACCTCCATCAATAGAGGATCAGACTACACGGCGCTGTAACCTAGGAGATTGTCATCTTCGTACTCAAATCCAACACATGCGATACCTAGACATAGATTTAATGATATTATTAAACCGGATCTTGGATAAATATGATGTGAGCCGGGACTGGATTTAAATGACTAAGGATGTGGTCTAATGGCTTGCTTTTACTAATATGGTAATTAACTTTCGGTTCCCTTAAAAGGAGGGAATTTCTTGACTAATTCAACAAAGAAGAGGCCTATTGCATTTCTAGTAAGACTTGAAGATGAACTTCGTTTGAAACCATCATTTAATCCCTCACTGTCCTAAGACCAAAACTATTAGTTGGCACTCCTACTTCGTATTTAGTAAAATATTCACCCGAGACTCGCCATTTTGACTGGTACTTCATGGTTTTATCCATTCTCTCTAACCTAACCTAACCTAACCACCTTAAAATAAGCCATGACCGCTTCCTTCCACACGTTTTCTAATTTATCATTCACAGAACATTGCCATTCTGCGGTACATGGCTTAGAAATCTGACTATTTGCAGCCGAGGAGTAAATAAATAATATTTAAGAATCAGTTCCTATCGCAAAGAACAACTGCTTAATGCTGTTTAAGAAGATAATTGTTATTTACTCAGGGAATCATAGAAACCTTGTAAATATACATTGCGGTCGAACTACAGATTTAAATATTATTAAATGAGATGGTACGTACAATTGCCACTGGGACTATAAGGGTTAGAAATCATTGGTAAATAAGATAATAACCAAATATAAATTACGCTTTATACAGATTCACATTAACTGGGTTTATACGGTATTTGTCCATCGTCCGGACAATAAACAAAATGCAAAACTCAGTAGTAGCAGAGTAAGACTTATTAACAAAAATATATTTTTATAATGTTTATTTCTTCACCGTCAGTCCGGAGCAGATGGAAACTTCATACTAACAACTAAAAATAACATAAAATGCCTTTGGCAAGGAAGTAGGAGAACTCGTCCATAATCTATGCAATTAACAAATTGCAATTAAATGACGCAAGTAACAATCAATTATTGTTCAAAATAAATTCTATAAGAAAGAAATAAGCACTAAAATGAGTGCGGAAGGATGAAGCATCCCATAAGCTCTCTGTTGCAAGTCTGTTTCTGTGAACTTGAAGATTTATTACGCATGTGTGCTGTGGCTCCAGAATATCGTCTGTTTTGTACAGACTTGTAGAAGGAAGCATGTTTGTGTGTGAACAACAACTCCACAGGCGTGACAAAGTTGCTGTAGCGAAACTTAATCTACGCCCCACCGAATAATGAAATTCCTTGCTACGGTAACACACACAGACCAAACCACACAGACACAGACGCATGTCGTCGCGAATGGTATCTTAAAGACTTAAATGCATTGAGAAAATAAGTCTGAGGAAAGTAAGAAACGCTGTAAACAGACAAGCTAAAATATTTATTTCGTAGGTTCTATTATAAAGTTTAATGTTCCCTGAAGGATATGCTACTGACATAATTTTGCTATAAACCACGCTGTCCTTAAATTCAACGTGGTTTCAAACTGTTAAATAATAAATCAGTAACGATTAACTGGCGATGTAGAAAGAATTTCGAAAATGTTCAAAACGATAATATATTACTTTCATAGATATTTATATTGTTTTCATATTAATTTGTTTATTTTTATACGTTTACGTTTTTGTGGGGTAATTTATCGTTGATAAAAGTGCCTTTCAAGAGCCGAGCGTGGGAGTAATAAAACTGACTGTGAACAGCTCTGATAATTGGATTGAGCTGGCTCGTTTACAGACATTTCTTGTCAGAAGAACCTGCATATTTCATAACCAGCGAGTTAGCTTTAGAACAAAGTTTATGCTACAACACTAACCTAGCATTCCATATCCAGGAACACGAAAACATGGCCCACCGTCACATCTACATCCCCTCGTGTGTTTAAGAAGATTTTCCTCGACACTCCATTTCGCTTTCGGTCTTTGAAATTCTCACGCCCTCGTTTTAGCAAGTGAAGGGCAAAGGTGAGGCGACGTGGTTTCGAGAGACACTCAAGGACTACACACACCGTTCTTTAGCAGAAGATACCAGGCCTCAAGAAACAATTCGTAGCTTACGCATGGGCGTCATAATACCACAACGCCCTATCACGCTTTCATTTCATCACATTCTAATTCGTTATGAATGTTTAGTTCGAAACTGTTGGGCAAAAGTAATTCATATTCATGAATGTGAGACTGGAAACTAGATTATCTGGATTACTATCTGTTAGGAAACAAAAAAGGGTTTTAAAAATTCACGGCTATAACAAACTTCATTACACAGAATTTCCGTCCGGTAGTATACATTTATTCAAAACTTGAACACATTCCTGATAAAGGCGTTTATGCAACACGCTGTAAACGTGACAAGGCAAGTGGGGGCGGGGGGTGTCGTTACCTTTCACCAAAAACTGCGTATAGTAAAAAAGAGCCCCTTCCTTGTTAAGTGACGATACAGAAAGCAGTGGACATTTCCATCACTTAACACAACATTGGTATCTGTTCTCTGATTTCAATGTAATTTATTTTTTGGCAAATAGAACGCGTCATAAATGGACTAAGTGACTTTTCGATCAATGTATACAGTGTATGAATTTACTGCTGATTCCTTAAGCTACACGTTAATAAATCATACAAATCGGTTTTAAACTTCATGGATTTGGTTGGATGGATATAAATGAAGTTTTCACGACATAAGACAATAAAGAACCAACTGGACATATAGAAAGCACTGATTTGAAATGATTATGGTAAAAAATGTCAAATGTTTAAAATTTAATGTTAAGCCACTTCCACATTTCTAGATAGTTCGGGTCGTAGGCTGTTGTAAGGTGACATTACTAACTCGCCTTTGGGTTACGTAATCGAACTAATTCTGCGCCACGACGTCTGCATAATGTAGTCTGTGGCCCTTATCCACCGTGTTTATGTCTAGAGTTCAACTACTTCTTAGCCAAGTGGTACAGACACGCACAAAATAACGTAGAACCAGGAAACAATATAAAAATTATTAACATTCATAGCGTAATTAACTAACAAACCCTTGGAATCAAACTTTCTCCTTTGTACCTAATATGTAATTGCTGAATCTGTCAAGAGATTCCCCACCTTTTACGTAGCTCTAAGTTACAATTGTGTTTTCCGGAGCTCACAGTTCGGCCCTTTCAGAATTTGAGACCCTTTGTTACCATACAGCTCTACAACCCAGAAGACAGCCATCCTCGTACTCGCTGTCGTGAAAACCACAGATCCTACTAAAAACTATGCAGTAAAATAAACAACACCGACATTTCGACACAGGAAAGCAGAACTGACAAAATAACGAATAACATTACATAATGAACACATTTACATGGTGCACCCTGCACTACGAACAGGGTGATTAAATTAAGAAAAATTAAATCAGCGGAGTATGTAGCACGCATGAAGAAATTTGTACAAACATGCATATAAACGTTGGTCGGAAATCCTGATTACATTGAAGACAAATACGTAGATGAGAAGATAATATTAAAAAGAATTTTAAAAATGTAAATTGCAAAGTTTATTTCGCTATGCATCTATTATTACAGTTTCTTTTTCGAAAAATTATCTTAAATCTGCTGCCTAATTTTATAGGTTCACGCATTGGCGTCTGGATATTTAAAACTGCTATCCAGCTGCAGTAAAAACCGGCTTGATCACAACTTGCCTACTATATAAATAGATAGAATATCAGTGGTAGGCTCACACGTTTCGTTGTATCTCAGTTTCTTACCTTCTCAATAAGTTTCTAATTCAAAATTTGAATCGAATTCCTACAAAATTCCCCACATTCAAAAATACTAAACTCGCACAGACCTACGCAACATATCCACAAGACCTTCATTTTACTCATACAGGAAAGTTTAATTTTAAACTAAATACACAAAAGCTGGATTAGAAACGCTTACGTAATGTATGCTGATGAGACATTTGCCCTTGCCGTCACCTGCGACGTGTGTGACAATGTCACTCTTCACTCAGGAAGTCGAGCCAAAAACAATTGCATCAACACACAAAGTTGGCAACAGTGACGTTTCACATCCAACAGCACGCCATTTCTCTTTCGGCGGGTAACGAAGATTCATCAGAATTAAATATTAAATATTTCACCTTGTAATAGTTACCGGGTGTAACTGCTTCGCTCACGATAGAAACACAAATATTAAGAACTACAGTAGACCATTACATGACATTAGCGTCAATACCATGAAGCACAAAGCAATTACATAAATATGTGAAGACCACGTTTATTTATACGTTCAACATTGTCTTAGTTGTGTTGTGTTTCGAAATACTCGGGAATCCCGCCCTCTTTTCCCGTGTCTCTTACGTAAAGACTGATTGCAGCCGTGTGCTGTGGGTCGCGTTCATCAAGTGACCTTGTCTTAACATTCTTCTGCACAAGGCAACAACTCGCTTCCTGCAAAGCAATCATCTTGATGTGTCGGCGTGTTCTTGTGGCCATCGTAATAGTACCAGTCTGTGCCTTCCTGGCTAATAACAGTGTGATGCCAAGGTATCTCATATAAATATGTACACAGAGATCGCATCTTCTTAAATAATTTGCAAAATTACAGGAAGAATGCAAGAAAAGAAATGAATACGCCGTGTTACCTCGATTTTAAGACGTCGCCAAATGTAAGATGCACCCCGATTTCAGAAATTCTAAAATGTGATACAGTGTTTTAAAATCGAGGAAACGCGGTAAATAATCGTGCAAAATAAATGAAAGAATAGAAGAGAGGGAGTAAAGAAAAAGAATAACATAGAG